ACCTGTTAGAGTCTTATTAATTTATAATATTAATAAAAATTCAAAATGCCTACAGAACCAATAAAATTGAAACCGGATCTTCACACTTTTAGTCTTTTAAAAAAACAGTATAAATTATAAAAGGCCAGTAAGAAATATCGCCTAGACATTATAAAGTCTGTACAGAAAAATTGGCGGGCAGAAGGCGCGAATAAAGTGACAAAAGCGGCCATTATCACAGGCATCAGCCGCGAAATCATAAAGCTATTGAGAGGCCGGAGCGTCGGTTACTGAATTTTTTTTTTAAAAAGAGGGGTAATAGAGCTTGAGTCTATTCGCCACCGCCAAACGGTAAAGATCAAGATATGTATTTGTAATCACTTATACCCTCCAGACCGAATTTCGGTCACGGCGACCAGTCTGAACGGAAGAACGGAGACTAGCCATCGGCGCAGGACAGGATTATAGTGCCCAAATGTATGCGCAAATACAGGTGCACTCTCTATTCCCTCACCCTCATAGTCCGATGGGACGGTAAACCAACACGACGGGAGAAAGATCGGGCACAGGACAAATGGCTTCACGTACTTTCGGGGACACGGCGGTGAGACACCGTCAGACAACTTCCTGACAGTGGGCAGGCAGCTTCTGAGAATTTCTTGACGGTAAAACTTACCTCATGACCAGTAGTCGTCTGTTTTTATAGCATTGGGTGACAAACGAGCACACAGTCCACCCGATGGTAAATAGATGCTGTGGCCCAGAGACATCCACATTTATCGTCAATTAAGGATCAAAATGCAAATGCGTTGACACCCCTGAGACTTAGATGGCCTCAATTTCAGTGCAAAATTCTACATTCTCCGGTTGTCTACATTCACCATACGAAACGCATTACGCTGCTATTTTACTGGTATTCTGTGAGAGCGTGGTCCTGCCCCGGTCGAGCCGACCCATTCTTTCTCTACCACGTGGGTAAATCTGTATAGTAATATTAAACATTCATTGATTCCTATCAAAACTCCACTTTGAACATTGCTGCAACATTGACTAAAACTGTTTATTTGGATTTTATTGCGTTATTTAACAAATTTTTAATACGCGACATTTTGGGAGCTTTTTTATAGAAGCAAACGAGCACGCGGCTCACCTGATGGTAAGTGACTACCGCCACCTACGAACAACTGCAGTTGCTATGAATTGCAGGTACGCTGCCGGCATTTTAGAAGGGAGTAACCTCTTTTCTGGAAGCTTTACAGCACCCAGTCACGGGGAGCAGGGGGAGGGGCTGAGATGTTTGACGTCTTTTGAATATAAATTTTTGTTACGATCTACGCAGAATGAGCTTAGAATATCTTCGTATCTATTGCAATACATTACAACAAAATGCTCTTTATTGTATACAAAGAAAAGACAAATATAACAAAAATAAATAGATATTGAGGGATAAACAAAAGCCGGCCTTATTGCCACAATCTCTTCCAGACAACCCAGAAAACGAATTGATAAAAATAATTTAATTTACTTTTTTAAATTCCCGACATTTTAAGTAAAATTAAACGTGATAAAATCCGAAATGTTAGTATTATTCAATGTGTAGTGTTCGCGTAAATATAAGAAATCATCAAGTTTATTTTTGACTAATGCTATTAAGAAAGCCCCGTACACGCCTAAACTAACTTAAAATCAAATTCAGCACGCCAACTCTAAACTCAAAATCCGTTCGCACCTCGAAAATCGATGGAGTTTATTTTGTTCCCAACTCTTATCGGTAAAGCTCTTTTCACGTAATTTTTTTGGTGATATGTCACTAATTTTTTATGTTACGAGTAACACTAATAAATAGATGACCTTCAACGTTTTTTACTTGCGTCTAAATTTTACAGTCCTCTATTTTTAATTTTTTTATACAGTCTTATATTTCATTATCGCGAGTCCACTGCCGAACAAAGGCCTCCCCCAAGGAATGCCACAAAGCAACGTCCTGAGCCACCTGCATCCATCGACTTCCTGCATGTCTTATATGGTCGCCACTCCATCTGGTGGGAGTTCGCCCTGCACTTCACCTACCAGTACGAGGCTGCCACTCCAGAACCTTTTTTCCCATCGGTGGTCGGTTCTTCAAGCTATATGGCCGGCCTATTCCCTTCTTCAGCCCACTATTCCATAGTGTCTCTGGTTCTATACGGATTTCTCATTTCTAAGTTTATTGAGAATCCCTCGCTGAGCGACCTTGAGCCTACTATATGGCTAGTAGTGATGGACCATGTCTCAGTTCCACTGCAAGACGCACTGGTTATACGGCCTCGTTTTCAGGTTTTGAGGTATAGCTGACGAGACGATATGTCGTAATTCCCGGAACGCTGACCTGCCGAGTTGAATCCATCGATTGACCTCTCGGCCGAAGTTAGAATTACCTAATCTGATTTTTTGTTTCAGGTAAACAAACTCGTCAACAACTTCGAGCTTAGCGCTCCCAACATTTACCGGCATAGGTGTGACGTGGACGTTACACACGTCCTATATTTAATTTTATCTAATTATGAGAATTAAATTAATATTAACAAAATGATTGATGCGGCTATTTTTAGGCTATTTCAAACAAAACTGCACTAATAACTTTGTCGACACCGAATATCGATAATTTGCAGTTTTCAAGTTTTACATATGTATACGCTTAATTATCTGCCTTGATGGTAAAATTAAAGTTTCTAAGTAACTCATAAGTGGCTTAAGTTTTTGATGAGTAAGTCAGTAATAAAATTGGAATTTTCTGGCTTTAATAACTCAAGAACTGCAAGCAAAATGAAATGTGAAAAAAGAACTTCGCATCTTTTTTAATTTTGTATTTGTAAATGTAATTTATAAATGTTTTAGCTTATATCACACACCCATAATTAAGACGAACCAACATCTCATAATTTTAAAACCCTACAAGGAGTTAAGGCTATAGAGCGTGCAAAATAGACAAACATAAGTACATAAATACATAGTTTCGATATACATTAATCTCCTTCTGGGGCAGTCGAGATAAGAAGCCTTATTATTTATGATTTTAAGAGTCGGAAAGCGACGCCCTAGAAGAAGGTTTATCGACCAAATTGGCGATATTTTGAAAATGGGCCACGTCAGGGGTACCCTTAATCGATGAGCATGTATGCGTATATGGATGTGAAGGAAGTGATAGAGGTGTATCAGGATCGTGCCAAATGGAAGTCCGAAGTCTCTGCCTACCTCTCAGGGTGCCCGGCGTAAGTGTTTATGTATGTATGAATGTATTTATGATTACAAGGTTCTAGGTATTTAAGAAAACCTATTTAGAAATGTAAAAGTGTGTAGATGTAATAATTTTGAGTTATGGGGGTACAAAATAGTTCGTGTGCGTCACTTTTTTCCGAACTTGACTAACACTACATCATATCGCTGCTTTGGAAGAATAGCGTATTATTACCAAATACTACAAAATTAAGTTTTCAACAACATTCATCGTAAAAAAGTTTTGTATACACAATTAAGATCATATTTCTATAACAACATTTACGGCCGTGGCGCCACCGAAAGACTGTATCCTATTGGTCAATTTAGGCAGCCATTTTTTATAGACAGCGTTGTATCACCAGTTGCAACTTGTCCTTAGAAGTGAATATTCGGTTGGTTTTCTGGAATATGATCATATTAAAAAATAATACAAATTTTGAGAGCGCATTTATTTAGAACACTGCATTACTCCGAGATGTGACATTATTGTTTAAAAAAATCTACAAGAACCTTTAGACACTTCTCATAAACAATGTATCATTTGGGATTACTACGTTGTTCTACAAAAAGTAAGTATAACTTAAATGTATTAAAATTAGATATTACTGTTTATAATAAAAAATACGGTCGATAGTATTTGTACAATTAAAATTAAAACGTTTTTCTAGATAAATTATTTCGTGATTGTAATAGTATGTTTCGTAATAAGACTTTATCTGTTCAACAATCTGTCGTATTTTTGTACTTGACACAGTATTTCAGATAAAAAGCAACTCGAAAACGCATTTAATTTTTCTAAAATGTCAGATACGAGTACCTACCTAACTAATCGTAATGAGCTTACAGAACCTAATATTTTAGTAGGTACCTAGTATTCTTTTTACCTATCGACTCATATTTAGGTAGCTATATAGTATAGCTACTATAGTAAGGTAGTTGATGGTCGATAGGAATCAGAATCAGATAATTATGTGAAAGTGCGGGTATATACCTACCTAACTTTTAATTTTTTTTTTTGATTTTAGTGGCAAACCGACGGACACTAAAGCTGTTCCGGAACATCAATGTCCCGTTAAGTATCAAGGGAATAAAAGAAGTGGTACGTACTTTTACATGAAGTGTAGTTAGTTGGATTTTTTGATTTTATAATAATAATAATAATATTTATTATCAATTACTATCGAGAAGAATATTATTTTAAACTTTTTGATTCATGTTTCATTGGATACTTTTTCATGTTTTGTTTATGTTACAGGACAATCAAGCAGATGACAAAATAGGTCAAACGGAACGCGCGATACTATCTCCTTTACCGTCTGAAAACAACAAGCTTCTAGATGCAGAAGATCCGCTAAACCAGGATGTACATGACTATTGTTCAGATGACAGCGTTAAGGACCCAAATTACGTAAAAACTGATGGCTATCATTCCAATTCTGATCATAGTGACTTCAATATTAAGAAACGCGTAAAGCGATTTAAAAGAAATAAGTTTGCTGAAAACATCGATCCCATGATTTCAGTTGCGACTAAAAATTCAAATTCAAGTCAAATTAGTACGCCCAATTCTCACCAAAAAATTGATTATTCAAACAAGCCCAAACCAAAAATATCGTATATACCACCGATTAGTTCATCTAGTTCAAGCTCTTCTTCAGACTCTTCTGACAGTTCATCATCGTCTAGCGATTCTTCAGATACGGAAGAGGACGCAAAAAGAGTTGAGGAACAAGTTACAGAAACAGATACAGAAAAATACAGAAATGGATAGAGAACCAGATAGAGAACAAGATTTAGAACAAGTTACAGAACAAGAAATAGAAAAAAATACAGAACAGGATATAGAAATGGATAGAGAACAAGGTACAGAACAAGAAACAGAACAAGAAACAGAAAAAGATACAGAACAGGATATAGAAATGGATAGAGAACCAGAGAGAGAACAAGTTACAGAACAAGAAACAGAACAGGATATAGAAATGGATAGAGAACCAGATAGAGAACAAGATGTAGAACAAGTTGCAGAAAAAGATACAGAACAGGATATAGAAATGGATAGAGAACCAGATAGAGAACAAGATGTAGAACAAGTTACAGAACAAGAAACAGAAAAGGTACAGAACAAGATACAGAAAAAAATACAGAACCAAATACAGAGCCTTCGAAAAAAATTGGACGTAAACGCAAGGCAAACCCTAAGAACTGGATATCTGTAAGAGGAAAAATTTTAAGAAATCATGGCAAATCGTACCTGAATAAAAAAAATACTTCCCGAGAAACAATTGAAAACTCCATGTGGAGATAAATGCAAATTTCAGTGTAAGGAAAACATTACAGAATTACAGAGAAAATGATATTTCAAAACTACTGGGATATGAGGGACTTGGAACGGCAGCGAGAATATGTTATGCGACATATTTCCGTTATCAAACCGAGGTACTCGTACAAAGTACACAACAGTAATCGAGGAAATAATTTTGCTTTTTATCTTTCAATAGGGGATAATAAACTTCGAGTTTGTAAAACTTATTTCAAAGCCACTCTTGATATTAACGACAGGGTTATTAAGACTGTTAACGATAAAACGTCAGATATGGCTATTTTAGAGCCAGATCGTCGAGGCAAAGATAGCATAAGAAAACACTTAGATTCTATCCCGAAAGTTGATAGTCATTACTACAGAGCAGACACCAAGCGAACATACATTGAAGGCGGCAAGACTATAGCTGATTTATATAGAGACTATGTTGCTGAATGTAAAAGTAAAGGTTTACCTTTGGGTAATTATCTAACATATTACAATATAAATATAATATTTTGTACCGAATACAATATGGCATTCTTCAAACCTAAAAAAGACCAATGCGAAACCTATACAAATTATACTAATGCGACTGAAGAAGACAAACAAATTATGAAACATGATTATGAACTTCACCTAAAGGAAAAACAACTAGTAAGGGATCAAAAAGATGAGGACAAAAACTATACTCCAGACAATTGTATAGTATCCGTTTATGATCTACAAGCTGCAATGCCTTGTCCTAAAGATGATACGTCGACATTTTTTTATTTTGTTTATTATTTATATTTATATTTTATTTATTACCTATCCAAGTTGAATTGCTATAATTTTACTATTTATGATATTAAAACCAAAGATGTGAACTGTTACGTATGTCACGAAGGCGAAGCGAAACGTGGAGCAATTGAAATTGGTACCTGTGTACTAAAATACATTGAAAGCCTGGAAGAGACCGCCAAAAATTGATTCAATTAATACGGTTGACTCAGACTCAGAAAAATCATTATTTGATCGCAGTATACATTTTTGCTGTGCATAATTATGATTTTATAAATTCAATTTGTCATAAATTCCTCATAAAGAGTCATACACAAAATGAGGGCGATAGTTTTCACTCTGTTATTGAGCGTCAAATCCAAAGAAGCCTCGAATCTGGTGCGATCTATACACCTAATCAATACACACAGATAATACGAAGTGCGAAGAAGACTGGTACCCCTATAAAGTATATGAACAGACCCATGCCGATTTTTATGATGTCAAAAGTTTAGCAACTGCTATGGGTAAGAATTTTTCTAAAAATGCAAACAAGCAATCAGTAAAACTTACTGATATAAACATTTTAAAAGTTGATCCAGACGACACTCAAAATTATGCCTTCTACTACAAAACATCATACGAAGAGCAACATTTTAATAAAGTTAATGTTGATAAGATAGGGAGAACAAGAAACACACAAAATAATAATATAGTTTTGATACAAATATACAAAAATAATATGGAAGTATGTGAAAAGAAGAAACGAGGATTATTAGGTTTACTACAAAATAATACAATTCCAAAATGTTACTCATTATTCTATGAGAATCTTTAGGGTTTTTTCTACAGGATTTTTATTATATTTTAGTCATAATAATAAAATGACACGTTGAAAGTATTTTTTTTGCGTATTAGTAACTGATTATTATGATCTCAAAGTGTTATAGTTAGATATTTAGATAGCTTTTTTAAAAGACTGTTCAAAATAGAGACTGATGTAAACTCTGTTTTGTGTTTAGAATTTATAAAATTCTTCTAATTTTTATGTTGATAATAGCTACATTGTTCAATTTTGAGTTTTTTTGAATTTTTACGTTTTGTTGCCAGAATTTATAAGATTCTATGCTACAACAATTACTTAATAATATTAGCTATTTTTAAAGATGTTAAACTTTCTCATTTTCTAGTTTTAGTATATTTATTACTTGTTGTAAAACCAGTTAATACTTTATTTTTCCATAAAACATGTCCCATACAGTAAGCATTTTTGTAAAAGAACCACCAAATTGGTAACACTATTGAATTAAAGTAAATAATGCTAAGATGTCACAACTCACGATGTATCAGTGTCACTGAGAAAAACATAATGAATATTTTGTATTATTTCTTAAAACACCACTGTTATTAAAAATAACCTTATTTTTTTCTAGTATTTTTTGTAATGAGACAGTACTCTTCATAAGTTTGTCTGTGTTATTTTATTATAAGTCTGAGACCTAGTAGTCGTTTTCAATATTTAGTACTAAATAAGCGTCATTTTCTTAAAAACATTCAATAAACATAAACTGTAATATATTTCACGTGTTTTATTGAAGTTTCATCAACATTTGCGCAGTAAATAAAAAAATACAGCATTTAAAGATTTGAAAAAACATAGGGGGTCATTGTAGAAGCGCGTTCGTCGCGACCCCTGCCAGCCCTTTTCAGGGCTGCAATTCTACACAGCTGCGCACCCATGCAGACGAGAGTTAGGGCGTCCCCCCAAGGCGACGCACACCAGCTCGTCCCCGTTGGTGTGGAATGCAGCGCGCAAAGCGGCGATGTGGACCGCCACCCGTCACGCACAGACCGACACGGCGGAAGTTGGAGGACGGAGTGCAGAGTTGGCACGTGGAATGTTAGAGGGGGCATGAGAGATAAGATGAATGAGTTGATCGAAATAATGAAAGAAAGAGAATTAGATGTCGTGTGTATGTCGGAGACCAAACGGCGGGACGTTAGCTATATGGTCCGGAGTCCCGGAAAGCGAGAACGCCTGCCAGGGAGTGGGAGTGCTGTTGTCGTCCCGGTTGGTCGATCTTATGACTGAATACAAGGTTGTGAACTCAAGACTTCTCTGGGTTCGCTTCAAAATGGGACTGACGAAGTTATTCCTTTTGGCTGTTTATGCGCCGGTAGCTTCGTCGTCCAGGGCTGAGCTGGAGGAGTTTCGGGAGAATATAAGAGAAGTTCTAGATTTGGTTAAGGGAAACGAAAGAACTGTTGTATGTGGTGATTTGAATGGATGGGTAGGTGTCGCTCGACCAGGATACGAGTCGGTGCTTGGAAAGTTTGGCGATAAAAGGGTTAATGATGCTGGCAAGCTTATACTGGCTGTATGCAAGGAAAAGGGTCAACACTAGAGAAAGAAATAATGAGAGAAGTATGATTGATTTGTTCCTGGTGGATGACCGACTGCGAAAACAGGTGATGGATACACGAGTGTTCAGGGGTGCTGACCTGGGAACGGATCATTATCTAGTAATTACTAGATTTAGGGGTTTGTTCGCGGGTTGGCGCTACCGGACGGCAGTAACAGAACCACAGTCGGTCTGTCGCATCCGAAGCTGGAAGCTTCAGGAAGCGGATACTAGGGACAAATATCACACGAGGGTAGCCGAAAAGCTTGACACCATCGATGGCAGGAAAGAATGTGTGGAGAGAACATGGCAGAACCTTAGAGATGTAATGGTAGGCAGCGGAAGAAGTATGTGGTACGACTAAAAGAGGTAGTAGTAAAAGAAGAGATGCATGGTGGAATGATGAAGAGAGAAAAGCTGTAAAAAAGAAGAAAAAAGCATGGTTAGACTACTTGGCCTCTAGTAACGATGAGCATATAAGAGAGAAGATGAAATAAAGATATAAGCCGCAGAAAGTTCATGCGAAAACATTGATTGAGGAAGTACGTGAAAGGTGTAGAATAGAAGCGGACGAGAGGTTGTCGCACAACTTTAGGGAAAACTCCAAACTCTTCTGGAAAGAGGTTGGAAGGTCCCGGAGTGGTGTGACAGCCTTAAGAATGAACAAAGTGCTTTCGAGAACCAATGACGTCCTCTCAGAAAAATCGGACGTCATGCAGCGATGGAGTGAATTTTATAGAGAAATGTATGCGTGTCATGATCTTAGTGAAGGATCCAGGGGTGGCCTCGATGACACTGAGGTCATCAGCATGAAAGAGATTGAACGTGCGATTCGAAGTTTGAAATGTGGTAAGGCTGCGGGACTAGACAGAGTTACTGCTGAAATGGTCAAGTACGGTGGGCCTCGCGTCTGGGACAGCTTCCATCTGTTGTGCAATTTGTGCTGGCGGACGGGAGATGTCCCGGATGATTGGTGATCCGCGGTCATTGTGCCTTTATATAAAGGTAAAGGTTCACATTTTGACTGCGGGTGCTATCGGGCGATCAGCTTGACCAGTTTAGCAAGTAAAGTTTACTCGAAGGTTTTGACACGTTTGATGCAAGAGAAATCGGAAAGATTCATATGGGAGGCACAATGCGGATTTAGAGCTGGAAGAGGATGCACGGATCAAATGTTTTCTCTCCAGATGATCTCGGAGAAGCTTCTGAGTGTTAACCAGAGGATTTTCTATGCTTTTGTGGATCTGGAGAATGCATTTGATAAGGTTATAAGGAAGAAAATGTGGGAACTGTGGCCGGGATATGGTGTGGATGGTCGATTGTTAAGGGCTGTGCAGTCACTTTACTATGACTGTAAAGCCTGTGTGCGGGCAGGGCATGACCTGTCACCCATGGTTAGCGTCCAAGCGGGCGTAAAACAGGGTTGTGTCATGTCTTCCTGGCTGTTCATACTGTATCTCAACAGCTGTTTACAGAAGCTGAAAAATAGCTGTTTGGGTGTGAAATTGGGTGACATAAAAGTTAATTGTCTGCTGTATGCTGATGATGCAGTGCGTCTCTGTCACGTGTATGAAAGAGGAATGTGAAATTAAAGGCCTCCGTTTGAATGCTAATAAAACTAAGGTTCTGGTATTTGAAAAGGACGAAGAGAGAACGAAATGTGAAATATGGGTAAATCAGGAATGTCTAGAACAGGTAAATGAAATTGTATACTTGGGGAGTGCTTTCAGCCGGGATGGAAGATGTGATTTAGATCGTGGATAGGCGTGTCGCTGCCGGAAACAAAGTCAATGGTGCCCTGAATGCATTAGTAAAAAGGCAAGGTGTGGTGAAGAGTGCACGCCTTGCAATACATAACGCAGTGTTGGTACCGACTTTGTTATATGGCAGCGAAACCTGGGTATGCCAGAAGAAGCATAAAAGCAAGTTGAATGCAGTGGAGATGCGATCTCTTCGTAAAATGTGTGGTGTTGCCATAGCCGGCCGAAAGCGAAATGAAGAGATTCGCAATATGGCAGGATTGAAAGACGACCTTATCACAAAAATTGATAGGGGCGTACTCCAATGGTTTGGGCACCTTGAATGAATGAGTGAAGACCGAATGGTGAAGAAAATATATAGAGCGAAAGTAAATATTAAAAGGTGTCGAGATAGACCGAGACTAACTTTCGAAGACCATGTGAGCAAATTGCTCGAAGAGGGGAGGGTCAAGAGTACTCGGATACCTAGACGTGCATGTATGAAGAAGTTAATGAACCTGAAAGAAGCGAAAGAGGTATGTAAGGATCGTGACACTTGGCGATCTGTTCTCTCTGGCTACCACGTTAGGGATTGTGCGTGAAGATAAGTAAGTAAGTAAGTAAGAAAAAACTTTAAAGTGCTCTACTGAAAAATTCACTCAATTTGAGTTACGACAGTATCCTTTCCAAAGCAGCGATATGTCTAGACAGTTTACGATAGTATACAATATTTAGCATTAACCATATATATATATATATATATATATATATATATATATATATATATATATATATATATATATATAACAAGAATTGCCGTGTAATGCCGTGGAGTGGCGGTGTAAGAATATCTACTACTCCATATCGTCCCGCGGGTGTCGTAACAGCTGACAGAAGGAAAGAAACCAGGAGACGGGCAGCAGCATTTCCCAATAACAATTTAAAAGACTACGGTTATAAAATAAAAAACTGCGATTATCACTTGCATACCAAACGAAGAACTATTGCAAAAATATGTGCACTTTTATAGTCTGATTGTAATGGATGGAATATTTAGCAACATCATAATAGTTGATCAAAAACCAATAGATTCAAATCAGTAGAGGTAACAGTGATTTTAACGATACGTTGATAACCATCACCGACTGCAATCACTTATTGTGGTATGATACACGGATATTACGTTTGATGAACATTTAAATACTATTCATAAAGCAAAACTGATTTTTTTAAAGTTAGTGTATAATTAGGTTAAGTTATAAGCTTATAAGTTATGCTGCATATAACTTATTTGCTGTTATATTGTATTATATTACCTTATATGCTTACTTATAAAGAAACGGCCAAATGAATATCTCTTTCTTTCTTTCAAAAGATTTAAGCAAGGTTGGACCTGACAGTAAGAGCCGGTAAATCCCTTAATGGGGCATGAATGAATGCTTCCATATCGTAGTGTTCTGGAAGTATTGGCAGTTTGAATTCGTTAACCTCGCTGTGGACATTAATTTGACTACCGCCAAGATGAAATCCGACAATGCGTCAAATGCGTCGAATTACATTTTACTAAAGTTCACATTCACATCAAATAGTATTCATGAACAGGACAGCGAAAAGTATATTAACATACTATAAAATAATCCTCAGTAAAGAAGTATTATAAGTTGTCAGCATCTGTATTTTCATCTGATAACAATGTGGGTGTCTTCAAGGCAAGAGTGAATAGGTTTTTGTTAAGTCAGTGCGCTGCAATCTTTGGCTGCACCACCAATTACCATCACGTGGGATAGAAGTTACCCACTTGCTTAGAATTGTAAAAAAATCTTATCAACATTATGCATTGTGTTTAATATATAATTATATTTATACAGAGGTATACATAATTTTTTTTGGTTTGTATGTTTGACAATTATTAATTGAGGATCCGACGTCCGAATAGGCCGAAAATGGTTAACCCAAATCTTCTATATTGGTAGCTAACACGAGTGTATTGACTCTGCGCGCACTTACTTAGTGTGAACAAATATTTTAAGTGATGTTTCTCCAATCGACAAATTCTTAGAAAGGTAAAGGTAACGGAAAAAGAATTATAGGATTTGTATAACTTTTAATAATATTACATAGCAGCCCATGTAATTTTTCATAATCTTCGTGAATTGGACAACTCAGTGGCGCAGTGGCTTACCAATTAGTTGCAGCGTTTGGCGGTGTGGATTCGCATCCCGCACAGGACAAGTCTAAGCGAGATTAGATTGGCTCTCCAGCACCTTAAAAACGGCAGGGCCCCAGGCGAGGATGGAATTACAGCGGAGATTCTGAAAGCGGGTGGAACACCGGTACTTGAAGCCCTTCAGAAGCTCTTCAATTCCGTCCTCCATGGTGGCACTACTCCGGAGGCGTGGAGCAGAAGTGCGGTGGTCTTGTTCTTTAAGAAAGGCGACAACGCTCTCTTGAAGAACTACAGACCGATTTCCCTTCTGAGCCGCGTCTACGTGCTGTTTTCGAGAGTCATTACGAATCGTCTCGCACGCAGACTCGACGACTTCCAGCCTATCGAACAAGCCGGTTTCTGAAAAGGCTTCAATACCATAGATCACATACGTACCCTGCGGCAGATTGTACAGAAGACTGAAGAGTACAATCTGCCACTTTGCCTGGCGTACGTAGACTATGAGAAAGCCTTTGATTCCGTCGAAATTTGGGCGGTGCTACAGTCCCTTCAGCGAAGCCAAGTTGACTGTCGGTATATCGAAGTGCTGAAGTGTTTGTACAGTAGGGCTACGATGGCTATCCGAGTACAGAACCAGAGCTCGAAACCTATCCAACTGCAGAGAGGTGTAAGACAGGGTGACGTTATATCCCCGAAACTCTTCACCGCTGCATTGGAAGACGTTTTCAAGCTACTGGACTGGAAAGGATACGGTATTAACATCAATGGCGAGTACATCACTCACCTTTGATTTGCCGACGATATAGTCCTTATGGCATATGTCTAATCGCTGGAGGACCTTAGTGCTATGCTCAATGACCTCAATAGTGCCTCCCAACGGATAGGTTTTAAGATGAACTGGACAAAACAAAGTGTTTAATGTCCATGTCACACCTATGCCGGTAGTTGTTGGGAGCACTATGCTCGAAGTTGTTGACGAGTACGTTTACCTGGGACAAATTGTCGGCTAGGTAAGTCCAACTTCGACCGAGAGGTCAATCGACGGATTCAACTCGGCTGGGCAGCGTTCGGGAAATTACGACATATCTTCTCGTCAGGTACACCTCAATCTCTAAAAACTAGATTGTACAACCAGTGCGTGTTGCCAGTGATGACTTACGGATCTGAGACGTGGTCCTTCACTGCTGGCCGTATGAGGACGCTCAAGGTCGCTCAGCGAGCTATGGAGAGGGCTATGCTCGGAGTTTCTCTGCGTGATAGACTCAGAAATGAGGATATCCGCAGTAAAACCAGAGTGACCGACATAGCCCAACGGATCAGTAAGCTGAAGTGGCAATGGGCCGGCCATATAGCTCGAAGAACCGATAACCGATGGGGAAGAAAGGTTCTCGAGTGGCAGCCTCGTACCGGTAGGCGTAGTGTAGGGCGACCCCCCACTAGATGGAGTGACGACCTGGTAAGATATGCAGGAAGTCGATGGATACAGGTGGCTCAGGACCGTGCATTGTGGCATTACTTGTGGGAGGCCTGTGTTCAGCAGTGGACTTGTGAAGGGCTGTAATGATGATGATGATGATGATGATGATGACGGGACAAGTATTTGTATGGCCAACAAATAATTGTTCCGAGTCTGGATGTTTGTCCTTGTGCATTTTTTTGTAAACTGCCACGTTACCGGAGAAAATCCTAGTAATGTTTTTCAAAGGTAAAAAGAATAAAAAAAGATTTTTTCAATTCAAACGTTGAAACTTTATCTCCACAATCTTGTAAGATATAAAATTTGCCAGTCAATCGTCCCGTATGTTCAACACGTTAACGAAATACAAATATTGGTCGGCGCGCGACACAAATTAAGACTAATGTCTAATGTAAAGTATATTTTAACTTGAAACTAAGTGCTTTGACAAAGTGCCGGTTAGCAGAACGAGACGCCGTTTGATACGGTAGCTTTACTGTTAAATCTTTAACCGATACTCTAGGTATAACATATTAATAGTGTTTATTCCCTGCAATATATTCAAATTAGAATAATGAGTCTAACTTGAGACTTTGTTTTCGCATTTTGTTGCATTTAGTGGGGTATATTAGCTGTCAAGTAATCAGATATACAGTTTGTTTTGTTTTTATAGTATAAAAACATGATATCTATGTCATCACAAAACATGATAAAAGCATAATTATAATAATATTTAGTACAGTTAAATATTTTTTATAAAATAGGGTGACAAACAAGCACTGCACTTGATGGGAAGTGGATGCTATGGCCCATAGACTTCTTCATATGTCTATGATTGAGTACCAAAATGTAGATCCATGCATCCTCACCTCTGAGGATGTAGATGCATGCTCACCCCTGAGGACTAAGATAAAATGTTTCGTTTCCAGTATAAAATGTCTCCAGTTCTGTCACTATACGAAACACTACACCGGTTTTCTACACTCACCACACGACATTTTACGCTGATTTCCTGTGAGAGTGTAGTCGTTCCCTGGTGGAGCGTGTACCACGTACTTTCTTGTATCTAAATTATGAAGAAAAAAAACACTACTACAAAATTTTTGTAAAGCGTTTGATTGCTTTGACCACCCGGCGACCATTCGCGACGTTATTAATACACATAAAATGCAAAAGCCTTCTACATGTTATTCGAAGGTTGAATCAGGTAGAAGGTCCTGTGAAATGTGTCGATGTAGTGCAACTTTTGTATGCAACGTGCGAAGCGGGAGTCGCACAAGGTGAACGTATAGGTCCAACTTTATTTTTTATACGTTCATTTCTATTTTTTGATAAAGACCGACGACGGATGTCAGTAAAAAGGATTGTTTACTTTTTACTCGATGAAATACCTTAAATGGTGTAGCTCTCTTTTATACTTACATTTATAGCTCTTAGTTATTAATATGCTTAAAAATTTCAGTGATATTAAAATTCATACAATAACATCAATATAGACTAGTGATAGGATCACTTATCGACAAAGTCAATGTTGAAGGATTCTTTGTTATACCAAATATATAAATATTAAATACTTCAGTTAGTTATCATTCTCCTTTTTTATTTTTATGCGAGCAGGTTGAAATGTTTTGAGATGATTACAGGGCAACATAGCACTGGATTTACAAACGTAATTCTGATAAATACAGCCAGAATATTTCTAATAGCCTGTTTTCATAATACAACGTTTACGATATAACTAGTGAAGTGAATAATAAAGCCTCATTAAATGGGAATACGGTTAAGAAGATAATGTTGATGTAAATTTTAAATTTTATCTTATTATTTACATAAATTAACTATTTACTAAACTTACCTGAACCCGACTCTCAGTGAGGCCGATCCTCATGGCGATCTCTTCTCTCATAAAAATGTCGGGGTAGTGTGTCTTAGAGAAACATCTCTCCAGCTCATTTAATTGTGCAGGTGTAAACCTGTGGACAAGGGTTGATTGCTTAGTAACCTATATTTTCTTAAAAAATCGTAATCGTTACTTCGCCAGACTTCAGCTGTACCGGTTAGCTTATGCTTCAATATAGCTAGCCTGTGCTCTAACTTCTACTGGTCAAATTATACCCATCATTCTATACTATCCCCCAGCTTGGCAGAAGTATTTGTTAATTATAGAGAGAGTAAGCGATTGAAGTGCATGTTGTTCAAGTGCGGGATTTAGTTTGTAGTCATGTACATCACATATATTTACTGTAATTTTTTTCTAAAATATGCAGGCTTCATCACTATGTTTTTTATTACAGTTGATTAAATGGTAAACAAGCACTTACATAGATATTAAAATTCGATATAAATTTACCTATAAAACTATCTATAAGATCAACGATAAAAATTACTTTATTATAATATAAAGATTTAACCTTACGTAAATAACACGTAACATCTTAACTACATAAAAATGTTGACCTTGGGATAAGAATCTAATCCTGGATCAATAACTCAGTGCCGGCTCTTTAACAACTAATCCAATCGGTCGTCATTCTTTAGTTAAAGTCAAATCTAAAACATTTTTATTCAATAGTGGCCTTTACCAAGCACGTTTAGAAACCGCCAACAAACTACACCATTGCTTCAACAAGTCTACTGCGGAAGACCGTGTTTTTATCTCAGCAGTTATAATTTAACCTTATAATATAAACTCTGCACAAATCAAGCAAGACTAAAAATCTCATTATGTTAAAGCATTCTTTTGAAATTTAAAAAATAATCATTATGATCATAAAAAAAATGTTTTTAAATTAGAATGCTTACAATTAACGTCTCTCTACTGCAATCAGTTTCATATTCATATTTCTAAGTGATAATGTTGTTCAATCAATCAATTGTTCAATCAATCAATTGTTCAATCAATCAGTTGTTCAAAAAATCAATGTTGCTAGATCTCAATGTAAGTACTATTTTACCTTGTTCTGTGCCTCTTCTGTTTGGCCGGCTTGTCGCTGTCCGAGGCTGAGGAAGACATGCTGACCGGCACAGTTGCCATGTGCCCCCCACTGTGCTGCTGCTGGTGAATTCCACCTTGGCAACAGTATAGAATAGAATAATTTTTATTCAATATAGATTATTACATAATAGTTATTAACAGTAACTTTTTTAAGGTTCGGAAAATACCTCTGTCCTGGGAAAAACCAACAAATACCCAGCGGGATAATTTCTTTTTAAACGTATATCACTTTACAACAATTTGGTTCAATTTTTTAAACTAATTTCAATAGAACCAGCATGGTGGTGATCAGGTTATTTCCAGGAGTTATTTTCGTTCATGTATTCCTTCATATTATCATAACCCTTTTTGTACAACATACATACATAAATACATAAACACTCTGCCCGTCACCCAGAGGGGTAGGCAGAGACTACAGACTTCTATTTGGCACGATCCTGACACACCTCTCTCGCCTCCTCCACATCCATATACCTACGCATACATGCTCGTCGGTTGAGGGTACTTCTAATTTGGTCCGTTTTCAATACATCGCCAATTTGGTCGACAAACTTTCTTCTAGGGCGTCCCTTCTCGACTCTGCCGTTCACATCTGCCATATAAATTTGCTTTGTCACTCTTTCCTCGTTCTTTTTTGTACAATTTATCTTTAATATAACTTTTAAGCTTTTTATTGACAAACTTTGAATATTTTGCGGGGGCTTTGTTATACAAGCGTTATACATTGCCCCGGAAAATGCTTAATGTTGGCAACACCTTAACGTTTTTGATGATTAAGCAGTTTCATATGGTTTCGATAGAACCATAATTAGCTTTGAATAAAAATATTTTTTTTCGCATTTAGTTTACTTTTATTATAGAATAAGGTGACAAACGAACGTACAGTCCACCTGATGGTAAGTGGATGCTGTGATTCAAAAACATCTACATTTATCATAGATTAAGAACCGAAATGCGCATGGGTTGTCAACCCTGAAGATTAAGAGGGAATGTCTCATTTCCAGGAAAAAGGGTATTCGGTTTTCTACACTCACCATGAAAAACACAGCATTGAGCTGCTATTTGACGCTGGTTTTCTATGAGAACGTGATTCTACCCTGGTCGAGCCGACCCATTCGTGCTACAGCTATAATATAGCTGCAGCGTGGCTCTACCACGTATCAACGTACTTATTTTTAATTCCCGACGTTTTATGATGAATTATGCGTGATAAAATTCGTGTAAATGTAAAAAATCTTTGTGTAAACAATAGTTCCCTGTGTAAATATAGTGTAAACATATTGCTCGCACTTCAGGGTCCGCAACAGTCAGCATTCGTGGTAGAGCCACGCTTCAGCTGTATTTTGGATGCAGTAGGAATGGTTCGGTGCATTCGGAAAAGGACCAAGCTCTCACAGAATCATTATTATCATCATTAAAGTCTCATATATGTGATATTTGCAATAATTAAAACTTGAGAGACGAGTCGGAAACCGCAGTTTATAATTATTTTGTTATCGTGTGCTGAGTGCAGAGAACAGGAGACATTTTTCAACTGATAAAGAGACACTCCATCTTAGTTCTTGGTGGTGAACGGATCTGCATTTTGATTATTAATTGGTGATAGATGATATAATGTACTATTGAAGGAGTGAGTTTAAGCAGAGGTAAACTTTCTATTCTCTCACTCTCATAGTACTATAGGATGACAGTGGCCGGAGAGAGATCTTTCCGAGGCACATATATACCGAAATAAATACAACTAAATTTCTGACTCCGAGATGCTACAGAAATTGCCAATAACTAATTTGGCCCCACCCAGGATTCAAAACAGGGATCATATGTTTAGTCGCGCTTACGACAATTATACCAATGAAACAGTTCGTCAATCATATAGATAACGTCGTAATAAAATATTTCATAAACGTAAAACCGGATTCAGAAGTCGGTTTTTCAATTTTTCGGTAAATTATAATTTTTATAAATTATTATTTTTTTCTATTCTGTGTGGTCTAAGAAACATCACATTTTCAAGGTGATAACTAAAGTGTTTACAGTTTAAGTTTTTACGTGGTAGAGCCACGCTTCAGCTATATTATAACTGTAGCACGCATGGATCGGCTCGACCGGGGTAGGACCATGCTCTCACAGAATACCAGCGTAAAAGAACAGCGTAATTCTGCTGTGTTTCGTATGGTAAGTATAGAGAACCGGAGATACTTTTTACTAGAATCGAGGCATTCCATCTTAATCCCAGGAGTGACAACATATTTGCATTTTGATTCTTAATTGAGGATAAATGTGGATGTCTATGGACCACAGCATCCACTTACCATTCGGTGGACTATGTGCTCGTGTGTCACCCAATGCTATAAAAAATTGTGATCATTAAAATCTTTATTACCTATTTTCCTTTCTTGAGGGATGGCTCTTTTTAATTTATATATCTATCAAAATTGATTCAACCTTTTCGGATAAATGGGTGAACATACACTTCGAACATAAAACTGTTTTTTTTTTAAACTTGGCCAATAATAATTTCTATAGATCGAAGAAGATTCTGACGAGCTTTAGGTGTTAAGTACCTTGCAGATGTTCGGTGCGTATGGAGTGCGCGAGGTGAAGCCGCGCTCCCAGCGCATGGTGCGAGCGGTCGACGCTTGGCTTCAGCTCCAGCTGCTTACTATCCTCAGAGCACGACTCTTTGTGACCTGCACAGAGACAAGCCCTGACGTTATCGCATTGCACATTAAATAATTTTCAAAACATATGCCACTCCATAGACTACCTCATAAGAGAAATACTGATCATAGTTGGCACGCTTGGCAAGTGGTTAATTTTGAAATAATACTAATTTTTACGGAATTTATCACGTATATTTAACTTTTTTTACCCGACGTTTCGAGAGCTTTACAGCACCCATGGTCACGGGAAGGACTGAGATGTTCAACGTCCAGCTGTCATAGTTAACCGCGGTTACCATAGATTAAGATTTAACTTTTGTTCCGATCTACACAGTATGAACTTATGGTATCATGGAGTCTTGCAGTTGTATGCTTGGGTTGGGATTTAATTTTATTTATTATAGGATCCCAAGCAGATGGTAGCACCCAGCCATCTTCTCTATTGAAATTAGGATGTTTTTTGATTTCAATAGCCTCGCGAATCATCCTTGGAAGGAATCGGTGTTCTTTAGCGAGGATTTGTGGTCTATCAAATCTGATGTAGTGATGGGGGCGATCCTGTACATGTTCACAGACTGCAGACTGAAACTGTTCACAGACTGCAGAATCAAATCTGATGTACCTAGTGATGGGGGCGATCCTGTACATGTTCACAGTCTGCAGTCTGTGAACATGTACAGGATCGCCCCCGTCACTACATCAGATTTGATAGACCACAAATCCTCGCTAAAGAACACCGATTCCTTCCAAGGATGATTCGCGAGGCTATTGAAATCAAAAAACATCCTAATTTCAATAGAGAAGATGGCTGGGTGCTACCATCTGCTTGGGATCCTATAATAAATAAAATTAAATCCCAACCCAAGCATACAACTGCAAGACTCCATGATACCATAAGTTCATACTGTGTAGATCGGAACAAAAGTTAAATCTTAATCTATGGTAACCGCGGTTAACTATGACAGCTGGACGTTGAACATCTCAGTCCTTCCCGTGACCATGGGTGCTGTAAAGCTTTCGAAACGTCGGGGAAAAAAAGTTAAATATACGCAATAAATTCCGTAAAAATTAGTATTATTTCAATGTGTAGTGTTCGCGTAAATATAAGAAATCATTAAGTGGTTAATTTGTAATAAACACCTTTTTGGTAAGATGAAAAATTCAGTAAAGCTTACAATTAAGATATTTAATTTTATGTAAATAAATAATATGCGCTCTATGATTTATTACTACGTTCGTATAGAATAAAATAGAATCATTTTTATTCAATATAGATTACAAGTAATTCTTATTGAAAGTCAATTTTTTACTTTTCCACTGGTTCCGAACTATCCTGGGAAGAACCAACAAGAAACCCAGCGGTACATTAAAAAAATTATAGAATATTATTTCCTTTTAAGTATTTTCATACTTAGAAAAATGATTTTAGTAAAGAATAAAGTTACGATATATTAGCTCGGTTTTTTATGATGAACGATCATCCCCTGCCTCTAATTACATAGTTTAAAAACTTTAATTGTGGTCGTAGCAAATTCACTGATAACCTAAGTGTGGTACGACTTCTTTCATAGAATACAATCTAACTAACGAGCACACAGTCCACCTGATGGAAAGTAAGGTGGCCCATCTACATCGATCCTCTAATTTTATCGTACGTATACATTTTATTTGAACATATTAATATAAATATACACGCTTGCTAAGCCAAACAACTTCGCCCAATATCCTACAAGCAATCCTATGGGGGAGGCCTGTGATCAGTGGACTTTTGATAGCCCGTAACGTAAGCGGTAATGGTTAGTCAGTAAAATCTGATTGAGTGCTGTCACTAAGAGTTTATTTAATTCGCTGTAATTTACGAGACATACTTACAATTGAAATTATTTTGACGCATACATCATTTTATCCTGTGAAAGTCACTGTCATCCATCTCAATCAGATTGAGATGGATGACCGTGACCCTATGATGGAATCTTTGTGAGAGGTCAATATACAGTCGTGAACTTTTCATTGGCTAATAGTAATGATAGTGATAATAACGTAACATACTGGCGGTCTGAAAATAACTAAAAAAACCTGGTCTTTTTTATTTATTATAAAGCCAGTGTATTAGCACCATCCCGTCTGTAAGTGGGAGGTGTGCGACGGTATGTTTTTTTAGAATTAAGTTGACAAACGAGCACACAGTCCACCCGATAGTAAGTGGATGCTATAATCCATAGACATTTAACCTCGAATAATCAAAATACAGATGCGTTGTCACCCCTGAGGACTAAAATGGAATACCTCGATTCCAGTAAAATGGGTCTCCAATTCTCCTCACTCACCATACGAAACACAGTAGTATTAAGCTGCTATTTTACGCTGGCATTCTAT